CCCGCCTCCAGCCGCAAGGAACCACCTACCGCGCGGCGGGTCCGCGGCCAAGTCCTCCCGGGCTACCGGCTCGGCGACCTCGCCACCAACGAGCGGAGCGGAAAGAGCGGCCCCCTGCGACTTCCGGAGGAAGTGGAGCCGGCGCCGGAAGTTGGGGGCGGGCTAGAGGAGGCGCGGTCTCCTAGGTCCATGGCGGGCTTCTTACTGATACCGGGGTCCGCTATGCGGCTTCCGGGGAGCCGACTTTGGCGTCTCCTGCCCCACGGACTCGGGGTCTGGGCCCCGGCGGACGGGACCGCCGGAGCCTGGATGAGGCAGCTCTGCGCGCTGCGAGAGGAGGCGCGACGGACCTCGGAGCTCGCTCGCAGCTGCCGGGGAGACCGGCCCCTCTGCACGGCGACGCCACCTCCACCGGGGTCGTCGGGTCCCGAGCCGAAGGGCCGCAGAGACCCCACGCGGCCCTCCAAGCCCGGGGTGAGTGTACAGCCGGAGCCCTCCCTCTGTCCGTCGCGTCTCCACGCCGGCCCGCGACCTCCCCATCCCACTTGGTCGCAATCTCGGAAGCCACTCGGCCGGGCCTGGAAGGGTCCTCGGCTCTGCCTTACGCGGTCACAGACTCTCATCCCGCGACCCCCTCGGTTTGCGGGAGGTCCCAGCGCGGAAGAGAGAACCGACGCCTCCCCGCGGTTGGATTCTCGGGTTTGGATTGTAGTGCGCTTTTGTGCCCCCTGCCCCCAAAATGAGTTCGGGTGTTCTTGAAGGTCTCCACCTTGAACTGACCAGGAGTGAGGAATCCAAGCATATTAATTCCTGTCACTTGAACGCCCCTTTAGATGTTCGATGTGTAAGTTGACATTGAGCAAAATGTGGGTCGTAGTTGCGTGCTGGGTATGCCCTCTTTGATTTCGCTCAGGTTCTAGTTCTGATCTGGGAAAACCTGAGAGCCGCTCCCCACTAGTGATGGTTAAGAGAAGTGGGTTTTAGAAGCTGGGGGAAGAAGGGTGATGAATTAGACCAAGGTAGTGGACATCTTACTTACCTTGGGACCTGAAAAAGAGTACAAAGAATTAACTTGATGCAATTTGCAAGAAGCTCCATTTTTTAGATCTCTTCTACCTTGACTTTGTTACTTCTGGAAGCCAGAGTTAGAGTGACCTCCCAAATTGTTATTTGGTTTATTTATATTTTCCATATCAGCACAAACACATAATTAACTGGATTTGAAATCAGCCACTATGGTCAAGGTCACACGTGTTAACAGTCCTGGTACTTGAGCTTCAGGTCCTCTTTCACATGAAAGGAAATGGACTTAGGGAATTTCTTCTTGAAAAGGAATGCCTCTGTAATTGTGTTGGCAGCCCAGATAGAATTGCATCCACAGACACTGTCAAGTTTTTTTTTTCCAGTTTATTTTTTTTAACATTTATTCATTTTTGAGAGACAGAGCTTGCATGGGGGAGGAGCAGAGAGAGAGAGAGAGAGAGGGAGACACAGAATCCGAAGCAGACTCCAGGCCCTGAGCTGTCAGCACAGAGCCCGATGCGGGGCTGGCTCGAACTCATAAACGGTGAGATCATGACCTGAGCCAAAGTCAGACACTTAACTGACTGAGCCACCCAGGCGCCCCAGTATTTTCTCATCCCAGAGCAACATGAAACATTCTACATGTTGAAGAAGATCAAGATGTGTGTTTATGTATGTTAAAAACTACCATAGTAATAAATGTAGGACGATTGCATGTTTGCATCTGACTAGTATTTTTGTTTGTAAAATCTCTGCCCCAGTAGCCTGTTTCCTGGAAGTCTTTAGCATTCACATTTGCTATTGGTGGAGCCTTATTGGCTGGAATGAAGTACTTCAAGAAAGAAAAGACAGAGAGTAAGTAGATATCCTCTGCTCAGCTCTGAATAAAACCTTTCTTTTTTCTTTTTTAGCATCTTTTATTTTGTTTTTAAACTTTTTATCTTGCAATAAAAGTTTTTAGTGTTTTTTTATTTTTGAGAGAGAGAGTGTGTGAGCAGGGGAGGGGCAAAGAGAGAGGGAGACGCAGAATCCGAAGCAGGCTCCAGGCTCCAAGCTGTCAGCACAGAGCCCAACGCGGAGCTCAAACTCACAGACTTCGAGATCATGACCTGAGCTGAAGTCGGATGCTTAACCAACTGAGCCACCCAGGCACTCCTATCTTGAAATAATCTTAGATGAACAGGATGGTTATAAAGATGACACAAGAGAGTTACTATGTACCTTTCACCTAGCTTTCCCTATTGTTAAGAAATTATATAACCATGGGTCATTTATCAAAACTAAGAAATTAAGATTGGTTCAGTACTGTTCACTGAATTCCAAACTGGATTTGGAATTCACCTGGTTTCTCATTGTGTTTTTATCTGTATTCAGATGCCACTGTGTAACAATATGAAGACTTAATTGTGAACAGATGGGAGCGTGGGTGGTATGACGCCCAGAGGGTTCCCAAGGATGACTTAGATACATTCCAGCCATCGAGGTGCTCGTGACAGCGAAGCAGACACAGAAGTGAAGGATTTCACTAGAAGAGGTTCTCCCCAGCCTCTGAAGGGCCAGCCCCTCCTACAGACCACCAAGTATCAGCAGAGGGAAGGGCCACAGGCTGACCTTGGATGATGGAGAGAAATAGGGAGAATCTGGTCAGGGAGTGCCAGGAACTGCTCTGGCTTAGCACTTGAAATGTCCAGAAATTGGGAACTTTATATTTTAGTCACTACTCCAGGCTTTTAAGATTTGGTTTAAAAGTTTCTAGTCAGGGGCGCCTGGGTGGCGCAGTCGGTTAAGCGTCCGACTTCAGCCAGGTCACGATCTCGCGGTCCGTGAGTTCGAGCCCCGCGTCGGGCTCTGGGCTGATGGCTCGGAGCCTGGAGCCTGTTTCCGATTCTGTGTCTCCCTCTCTCTCTGCCCCTCCCCCGTTCATGCTCTGTCTCTCTCTGTCCCAAAAATAAATAAAAAACGTTGAAAAAAATTAAAAAAAAAAAAAAGTTTCTAGTCAAACTTTAAAATACCACATGGGGCACCTGGGTGGCTCAGTCAGTTAAGCGGCCGACTTCGGCTCGGGTCATGATCTCACGGTCCGTGAGTTCGAGCCCCGTGTCGGGCTCTGTGCTGACAGCTCGGAGCCTGGAGCCTGTTTCAGATTCTGTGTCTCCCTCTCTCTCTGACCCTCCCCCATTCATGCTCTGTCTCTCTCTGTCTCAAAAATAAATAAACGTTAAAAAAATAATAATAAAAAAATAAAATATCACTTAAATCTATTCTGGTTCTTCAGAGTCTGTTTTGAAGCCGTGATACAAAGGATATGTTTAGATCTGGGAGAATTCATAGGCTTCTAGAATCTTAGCAGTAGAAGGCCCATATTGATATACAGACCTGTTTGTTTTGTGTAACAACCAGTATTTTATTGATGGGATTTTCATATTCTAATAAGAAATTAAGCTCCTTTAGTTTCACAAAGAAACAAAACAAGCCAGGAAAAGTAGTGGCAGAGACCATTCTAGAATAAGCAAGCTTTTGACTTTAGTTCAGAATTTCACCTGCGATAATATTTGTTTTATTAAAAACCCTATTATGAAACGATATTTAAAGTCTCTGCAGAGGCACATGGGTGGCTCAGTCGGTTAAGTGTCTGGGTTTCGGCTCAGGTCGTGATCTCACAGTTTGCGAGTTCGAGCCCCGAGTTGGGCTGTGCGCTGACAGTGTGGAGCCTGCTTGGGTTTCTCTCTCTCTCTCTCTCTCTCTCTCTCTCTCTCCCCCCCCGTCTCTCTCTCCCTTTCTCTCTCTGTGCCTCTCCCCTGCTCTCTCTTTCTCTCAGAATAAATAAACTTTAAAAAATTCAAGTATTTCTAAATCATTTGAGAGTGTTTGCGGACATGCATCATCATCTCTACTCCATTGTGTACTTTTTACAGACAGGTACGTTCTCCAATGTAATCATGATACAGCCACCAAAATCAGAAAATGAACATTGACATGTTAACTACCATTCAGTCTTCAGGCCTCGTTCAAGTTTTGCAACTTGGCCTTCTTGATAGCAGTTCAGTTCGGAACCAGACCTTGTACCTACTTGTCTCTTTATGCTCCTTCAGTCTGTAGCAGTTTCTCCATCTTTATGAGACTTTGATGACCTTGAAAACTGTGAAGATTACAGGCCAGTAATGTCCCTTAGTTTGGGTTTGTCTGGTTTCCTCGTGATCAGATTCGGGTCACGTTCCTTCAGCAGGAATGTCACAGAACTCGTGCTCAGTTCTCGTTGCGTCGCGTCTGGTGGCACAGGGCCTCCTTTGGTCCCGTTACTGATAGTGCTCAGGTTGAGGGTGTGTCTGTCAGGCTTCTGTCCCGAAAATGTAATTAATATATATTTCGTGGTGTGAATTTACACACTT